AACAAATTTAAATTTATCTACTTTTGTCTTGCAAGACCAAGAAAGAAACTAAAAATGTTTGGGTTTATAAACACACACCCTGTACCACATTTAAGAGAAATTGTGATATGAAAAATGTATGTTTTTAAAGGTTATAGAATATGTTCTTGAATTTGCCAATCAGAAAATGCTGGTATGACATTTCAATCACTTGTTTCTTGGTTTTGTTAAGGTTTTCCAGGGTTAAAACTTGTGATATATAAAAATACTAAGGGAAGCATTTCAGTGTGTGTTGTCAGTGAAGAGAAGGTATAAAGAATGGAAATATTTTTGTTGAGGAAAAATGATAATAATTTTGTCCTAGAGTTGTTTGTTTCTGGATGGGGAAATATAGGACAAATTTGTTTGGATCCATAAAATGGTGAAAGATTTGTGAACAAGGAACTTTGAGAAAAGAATTTTGTACATTATCAGGATTAAGATTATGGAAAAATTGTCCACTGAAGTTGTCACAGAGTATAACTTCTCACAATGTGTAGCATTGATGGCTTTAAGTTCACTGTTTAAAGCATATGTCCAATGTTTGTGTGACAATTGGATATAAATGATAAAATGCGTGGCTTATAAAGTGCTTCCCTATTAATATACCTCAGAGCCTGTCCATGATACCTGATGAGTCTTCCCCAATGTGGACAACCAGGTAGATACATAAACATAAAGGAGGTTTAGAACCGAGGGACATGGATAGACCCAGAGCAGACTTCTGAGCCACCCTGGCAACGCTGGAAGAATATACTGATTATCAACAATTTCTATGGAAAGATTTCCAATTGAAAAGGGTAAATGATGAAAGAACTTTTCACATGCTGAGGTATGGGGAAATCATTCTGGCTTATACATGATTTACTTTGAACTTTAGGCTAACCAAAACAGCCTATGTGTGGCCTATTAAACATATATTGTACTTTTGCTTTAACCATTAAGAAAAATAGATTCAGAGAATAATACAAAGATGCATTTTGATTATTATCCTCATTGTAGTATGTCTAGTAATTTTCAAATGTTTGTCCAGGTACCATGACAAAGTAATATTCCCTTTCTTGCTCTGGGCCTCCACAAGATTGAGGAGCATCAAAGAAAAGGGAGGACTGAAATGGAGTAGGACCCTCCCCCTGTCTCTCCCCCCATGTCCTCTGCCTGCCATTTGTCTGTGGAAAACTTCCGTCAAAAAATAATTTTAATCAGAGAAATGAGCACATTCACAGACAAAGGAAAACAGCCAAAGGAGACCAAATGATAATAATGTACTCAATAAGCATCATCAAGGACCTTTAGTTACTTCTCAAGGGCTATAGATAATATTCTGAACCATACCCTGTGAGCTGTCTTATAGATACTAAAAGGCCCACAAGCAGAAGTTGATTACATGATCACCAGGTTGTAGCCGTGACGTAAGCCGCCCAGTTACGAGAACTGACCTCAAAGAAATGGAAAAAACCCAACCCTGAAACTGAAGATTAATTGTACCTAAGATAACCATGGGCTTCCCCAATGGTTCAGTGGGTAAAGAATCTGCCTGCCATGCAGGAGATCCAGGAGACATGGGGTTCGATCCCTGGGTTGAGAAGATCCCCTGGAGAAGGAAATGGTAACCCGCTCCAGTATTCTTGCCTGGAAAATCCCATGGACAGAGGAGCCTGGCTGACTACAGTCCATAGAGTCACAAAGAGTTGGATACAACTAAGCATGCAGGCACAACATAGCAAAATAACCAAGATGGTGCTGGTCAGACCACCAATGACCAATTGGAAGATGACTGTCAGAGCTGACTGTACTGTTCCTGCATGTAGCCCCCCTCCCTCAGCCTATAAAAGCTCTCACCTCCTCTTTGTCAGGGGAAGTGGGGGTGGGAAGGGAGTCAGCCTTTGGACGGATATCTGCCCTCCCCTCCCAGTTGCCAGCATCTGAAATGAAGCAAACTTTCCTTTCCACCAACCTGGCCTGCTTTATTGACTTTGGGGCAGTGAGCAGCTGCACCCCCCACCTTTCGGGAACATTACTATAATACTCCTGAGGCCAAAATGTCACGTGCATGTTTATGTGTAACCAAACAGTGGGCCCATCCAAGATGTCTTTTTTTAATTGAAGTATAATTGACATACATCATTATCTTAGTTTCAGATGGGCAACATAATGACTCGATATTTGTTTATATTGTCACAATCAGTCGAGTTACCATCTGTAACATATAAGGTTACAAATTTTTTCTTCTGAAGATAACTTATAAGATTTATTTTCTTAGCAACTTTCAAATTTGAAATGCAATATTATTGACTATAGTCATCATTGCTGTATGTTACATCCCCATGATTTATTTATAACTGGAAGTTTGTACCTCTTGATCCCTTTCACCCACTTCTCCCACCCCCTTAACACCCTTCCCCTCTGACAAAATGTTCTCTGTATCTATGAGTTTTGCTTGTCTCCTTTTTCAGATTAATGAACTATCAGAAACAGAAGTTAAGAAAACAATCCCATTCACAATTCCATCCGAAAGAATGAAATACCTAGGAATAAATTTAACCGAAATGATTCTTTAGACCAAGTATGGTAGAGCAATTCACATTCAGGGTCTGACATTTGGCTTTGTCCTTTATTTTTAAGGAATTAGGTAAAATGTTTATATGGTGATAATAGAAGTTAGGAAACTAAAATTACCAAGACATAAAGATATCTAGTGATTTTGACTCTAAGGTTATGTTTCTTTCTGCTGAATTACAAGATTACAGGATACAGGACAGAAGAGTTTCTGAAGTATTTGGGGGGAAGTTTATAGAATAAGACATTTTTCTTACTCTGAGAAGATGAAAAATGTTTCAAATAAATTTAACATTAAAACATTTAATGTTTAAAATAAAAGCCTGAACCAATTCCCAGTTAAAGGTACTAAAGTGTCAGCACATTAGAAATGCTGCCACTCTTCCAAGAAAATGTTTCTCTGAGCTATTTTCCTTAGTAGAGAGATTCTTTTTGGTTCTTTTTGTAAAAATCTTGGAGAAGCTTGAAATCAGCAAAGCAGACAGGAAGCAGAGTTCAATTTCTGGAAAGTTAAGGGAAGAAAAGCATATAGCTGAAAATGTAGCTCCTTCTGAAGATTCTTTAAACACAGAGGTGGGGAAGTAATGATTAAAAAAAAAAAAACTGGCATAGGTATAGGCTAATGAAAATGTGGTGTGCCAGTGACTAACTGGTCTGTTTTGAGTTTCTAGGGCTTTATTCTACCTTTTTTTTTTTTTTTTGCTGTGCTGGGTCTTCATTGTGGCACACAGGTTTTATAGTTGAAGATGCAAGGGCATTCTAGTGTTGTGGCATTGCGGTCTTATTTGCCCCAGGGCATGTGGGATATCAGTTCCCGGAAAAGGGATCCAACCATGTCCCCTGCATTGAAAGGCAGATTCTTGACCACTGGATCTTTAGCGAAGCCCCCTATTCTACTTTTTTATACAAAATCTTTCCTAAAAAATGCTCCCCAGCCCAAACACTTTTTCAGGCTATTAAAAACAAGTTCAGAGTCAAGTTTATAGCAAGAAATGATTAGCCTAGAACAGCAAAGACCTGCAAGAGGTTTGAGTTCTAGAAAATTTTAGACACACCTAAAGAATGCTGTCAAGTCTTGGCCTTTTCTACCTCAGATTTCCATTAACTGAATGAGGATGATTCATTTTTCTATTTATCTCTTTGACTAATTTTCTCACAGTAGGTGTGTTTGTTCTTGGCAGGTTCTGAGGCATTGATTTCTCTGTAGCCTCAGATCTGAAATATGACCAGGCTGATTGAATGATTGCTGATCATTATATTGGGACCAGGAGTTGGATCTCGCTGGTGGGGACCTGCTGAATTTTAGAGCAGGCTGAGAAAATTGCTAGAGCTACACTCACGCTATATGGCTAACTGGACATGCTGTGTTAGGAGGCTTTCAGAATTGTGCAGCTGCTATGCAGCTGAGCCCTCCAGAGAGCCTCTAAGATCCTGGATGGGGGGATATGGACAGGTTTCAGTCCCTGTCTGCCTTCATCACTCACGTTGACAACCTCTGCTGCAGTGTCCAGTGTGCGGGGGGAGATCACATGGGAATGCTGGTCTCAGCAGCTCATCCCCTGGTTCAAACATTTCCTGTGAGTTCACCTGCTGCAGTTAGATCCCTAAGACCTTAATGCCATCAAACTGTGCTGTTTGCCCTGACAGAAAGGCTGTAAATCACCTTGAGAAAAGAAGAGAAAAGAAAAGCACTGTCTCTGATAGTTCCTCACTTCCTGTATTTAGTGGATGTTACCTGATTCTCTTGGTGTTCATCAGTTTATTGCCCATTTTCCAATCCGTTATGGGTCAGAAAGTTGTGGAAGTTTGTAAGGCTAAACGCAGGGCCACGAAGAAGTTTTAAGGGGCACATGGATCCGAAAACAGCCCTATTCCACTTGCCAGTTCTGTTCTCAACCTGAGGCTGACTCTGCCTGAAGGGCATGCGGAGTCGCTTCATTTTTGTCCAACTCCTTGTGACACCACGGACTGTAGCCTGCCAGGCTCCTCTGTCCATGGGATTTTCCAGCCAAGAATACTGGAGCGGGTCGCCATGCCCTCCTCTAGCGGGTCTTTCCGACCCCGGGGTCAAACCTGTGTCTGTTATGTCTCCTGCATTGGCACGCAGGTTCTTTACCACTCGCACCTCCTGGGAAGCCTGCCTGGAGAGTAGAGTCTCTTTTTTTACACAAAGGCACCACAGTCTAGCAACAGCATGGCCCAAGGCACTTTGGGTTCCATGACACCCAGTACATCCGATTCTACTGCAAAGGCTTGTGCACTGCCAAAGGCAAGCCTTTACACCGACTTTTTCCATCCCATCAATACATACCATGGAAAAAGACAGAGGCAGCACCCCCTTCATTGCATTTTTAAAGATCATAATAACCCTCTTGGCCACTTACCCTGTTCTATAAAGGATAAGAGTTGTCTTTTTTGGATACTTTGGCATTGCGGGGCATGAAGGATGAAGAAGCATGCATCTTGGAAACCTGTTGCTAAAAACTCAGTCACATGCCGGCTGTGTTCTGCCTTCAAACTTCCCATTTGTCAGATCGCCTGTGCCGTTAGCTCCCTTTCCACTGCTCCGCAGAGGCTCCCTGCCAGTAGCTCAGAAACTGAGGAGGGTGGGGATGGGGGTGTCTCCAAGCAGACCCGGAACTGACACTGCCTTTAAAAATGTTTAGGTCACTAAGTTGTTTGTTATTATTGTAACTTTTACTGTTTCTTTCAAATCCAGTATTATTCCTTCTCTTGAAAAAGCACTTTAACAACTTCCTGTATAGATGATGAAGTTACTTTTAAGGGTTATCTGAGTGCACTTTTAACCCCTTAAGAAAAGAGCAATCGGAATTGTGAGAGACTAATAGTGATAAACCTACTGTGGCTTCCCCCAACCATCCTGGATGACTAGAAGCTACATCCCAGAGCTGCAGAAATGGAGTCTTTTATAGCACAGAGAATGTTCTCTGCTGGGCTGCACTCAAGTTACGATGGTGATTTTGAACTGCACTTTTACCCAAAGAAAAAATTTAATATCAGCAAAGTCAGTGCAACCATAACATAGGATGAGAAGTTCAGGAAATTCTGGCTGAAGTGTAAGCAAAGAATCAAGGTTATGTTATCACAAAGGTTTCTTGTTATTTCTTTGTCTTTGTCAAATGCAGTCGCCAATGGCACATGTGCTGTTCTGTCCTCAGGGGAGATGGATCAGATGGGGTCAGCTGCTCAGCTAGCGGGTACTTCTTAGCACCATCCATAGTGTTTTATTCAGGTTTTACTAGAGCACAAAGGTTTCTTGTTATTTCTTTTTATTCAAATAACTATTCATTAAGCTCTAGTAAAACCTGAATAAAACACTATGGATGGTGCTAAGAAGTACCCGCTAGCTGAGCAGCTGACCCCATCTGATCCATCTCCCCTGAGGACAGAACAGCACATGTGCCATTGGCGACTGCATTTGACAAAGACAATGTGTCAGCTCCGGGTCTGCAGGGAGACATCCCCCTCCCCAACTCTCCCCAATTTCTGAGCTACTGGCAGGGAGCCTCTGTGGGGCAGTGGAAAGGGAGCTAAGGGCACAGGCAATCTGACAAATGGGAAGTTTACTTTGTCAACAAAGGTCCGTCTAGTAAGGCTATGGTTTTTCCAGTGGTCATTTATTGATGTAAGAGTTGGACTATAAAGAAAGCTGAGCACCAAGAATTGATGCTTTTGAACTGTGGTGTTGGAGAAGACTCTTGAGAGTCTCTTGGACTGCAAGGAGATACAACCAATCCATCCTAAAGGAGATCAGTCCTGGGTGTACCTTGGAAGGACTGATGCTGAAGCTGAAACTCCAATACTTTGGCCACCTCATGCGAAGAGCTGACTCATTTGAAAAGACCCTGATACTGGGAAAGATTGAGGGCAGGAGGAGAAGGGGATGACAGAGGATGAGATAGTTGGATGGCATCACCAACTCAATGGACATGGGTTTGAGTAAATTCCAGGAGTTGGTGATGGACAGGGAGGCCTGGCGTGCTCTGGTTCATGGGGTTGCAAAGAGTTGGACACTACTGGAGTGACTGAACTGAACTGAACTGAAGGCAGAATACAACTTGCATGTGACTGAGTTTTTAGAAACAGATTTCCAAGATGCATTCTTCTTCATCGTTAGTGCTCTGTAATGCCAAAGCATTCACAAAGAAAAAGACAACTTAGAAACTGAAGGTGAAGTTGGGGGGGCGTTGTGGAGGGAGAGAATGAGGGCTGGCCTTGGGCAGCGAAAGTTCTTAAATCTATTTATATCTCCAAGTTCTGAACTGGGATTTGTAAACTGTAAAGTCTCAAACCCAATTTTTAACAAAAGTGAGTAAGGCTTCCTATTTGATTGAGAAAACAGGGTGACTAAATACTATGAGAATTCATGAACATAATAATTTCCATTTATCCATAGTAATCATGTTGAAGGAGCCATGATAAAGGCTTAGTACTAAGTTGCTGGGTTGTTGTTGTTGTTGTTGTTGTGTGTGTGTGTGTGTGTGTGTGTGTGTGGTAAAGTGCAGCATTTATTGTAAGGAACCAATACAAGAATGGGTAGTGGTTCATGCTCTAAAACTCCAAACTCCCTGAAAGTTTCCCAATATTTACTATTAGTTTTAAAAAGAATTCTCTTAGAGAGATTACAAACCCTGCTCTCTAGTTGGGGAAACTGAATTTTAACCCAGGTATTGAACTCCAAAACTCATTGTCTTGACATATTAATAGATGCTTCTTTAAATGATTCAACTATTTACATGACAAAGTGTACTATGCTATGCATCCTTCTCTTGGATTTATATGCATAATTTTATCTCCAGTCTCTTTTGCTGCCAGCTATCTTAGGTAGATGTGTTCTTGATCAGTGGTCACCTCCAGAATTATCTTTAATGCCCAGGATTATCTAGTTCCCAGGACTGGGCTTGTGTTTTGACTCCTGCTGTTTTCACTAGGCCTGCCTCCCTTGGGGCTGAAATTGTTCCCTGAGCCCCTGTTCAGGGCTGTGTCTCTTCTGCTTCTGGAGAAGCCTCCTAGATGACACCTCTTTGGGTGTCTAATTCATCACAGAGAACTGAGAGATACCTGTTTGTCTCAAAATCATTGATGCTGACCATTGTCATGGGACTCTATCTAACGCTTTGTACCTCCTCATATAGCCAGAAGTGCTGTCAGGGCTATTCTGCTTTATCTAGTAGGTGGGTCTGGAATTGTAGCTGTGACATTGACAGTAACCATATCTTAAGTATAAACATCTTACTACTACATATTTTCTCAGCAACTACACCTGTGCATTTACCTGAGGGAACACAAACTGTTTATAAATGACTTTCTTCATATTATAGGTTTATACATATATATATGCACACATATATATATATATACATATGATAAATGCATTAAGGGTTTGTTTCAGTTCAGTTCAGTTGCTCACTTGTCTCTGACTCTTTGCAACCCCATGGACTGCAGCACACCAGGGTTCCCTGTCCATCACTAACTCCCAGAGCTTGCTCAAGCTCATGTCCATTGAGTCGGTGATGCCATCCAACCATCTCCTCTGTCATCCCCTTTTCCTCCTGTCTTCAATCTTTCCCAGCATCAGGGTCTATTCCAATGAGTCAGTTCTTTGCATCAGGTGGCCAAAGTATTGGAGCTTCAGCATCAGCATCAGTCCTTCCAATGAATATTCAGAATTTATTTCCTTTAGGATGGAATGGTTAGATCTCCTTGCAGTCCAAAGGACTCTCAAGAGTCTTCTCCAACACCATAGTTTAAAAGCATCAGTTCTTCGGCACTCAGCTTTCTTTATAGTCCAACTCTCACATCCATACATGACTACTGGAAAAATTATGACTACAAAAAAAAATTCTTTTAATGATGTATGTAAATAAGTTGGGGCTTCCCAGGTGGCACTAGTGGTAAAGAACCCACCTCCCAAAGTGGAAGACATTTAGAGATGCAGATTCCATCCCTGAGTTGGGAAGATCCTCTAGAGAATAAAATAAAACACAGCCCATTGTGTTCTTGCTTGGAAAATCCCATGGACAGAGGACTCCGTCAGGCTACAGTCCAGGGGGTTGCAAAGAGTTGGACATGACATGTAAATAAGCTTAACTGTGGGTTTCATTTCAGAATAATAAAAGGGTCCTAAAATATTTGGCATTGTAAGGCACTGTTAAAACCACTGAGGTGGTGAAGAGTAATCTTCACCACCTTTTAAAATACTTTAATTCAGATTCAGGTTCTGAATATGAGGACTGTGATAAGGATCAAATTTTCTTGAGTCTCAACTTATCTATAAAATGGAGACAGTAATTATAATTCAGGGCTGTTATGAATATTAAATGTCAGTGTATATAAATCCCTTTTACCCTGCACATAGTAAATGCTGAAAACTGTTAGCTATTATGACCATTATTAAAATAGGGATGATATATACCTTGTAAGATTGCAAATATTCAGCAAGAAGTAGACAAACTGCCTAATTAACAGACATTGTGAATATCACATTTCATTGAATCCAAGTTGTACCATTAGTTACCTCCAAGAAAGACAAAAAATACTGCCAGTTGCACAATAGTTACAGATAGTAAGGTTGAAAAATGAAATGTTAGTCACTCAGTCATATATGACCCTTTGTTACCCCGAGGACTATAGCCCGCCAGGCTCCTCTACCCATGGAATTCTCCAGGTAAGAAGTGGATTGCCATTCTCTTTTCCAGGGGATCTTCCTGACCCAGAGATGGAACCTGGATCTCTAGCATTGCAGTTATAAACAGTAAGGTAGATTCCAATTTCAGGTTTGTTAAGTGTGAAAATTTTGCATTAAAATAAAAATATTTTCTCTCTTCTTCTCTTCCCTATTACTTAAAGAATGAATAATCTTTACTCCTTAGAATCTGAAATTTTGTTTCCCGTTCTTTTTCCTCCTACCAAGACCCTAGGATCTCCTACTTACTTTGCTACAAAATAGCTACAAGCACTGTAAGTTTTCTGTATTACTTTTATACTATCAGGACTCCCCTTTATTTCTTCCATCTCAGTGTGAATTCAACTGCTCAGCATTCTGATTCTTGTTATACAAGATAAATGAATATTTAAAAAGCCCAAAACTTCTTCCTAGTTACTTAACACCTCCGATCTAATATTTAGGTTCAGAACCATTTAGTAATGCATATGTACACCTTTGGGCTTTTCAGATGCCTCTAGTTGTAAAGAACTCATCTGGCAGAGCAGGAAAGGTAAGAGATGGGGATTCGATCCCTGGGTCAGGAAGATCCCCTGAAGGAGGGCGTGGCAACCCACTCCAAGATTCTTGCCTGGAGAACCTCATGGACAGAGGAATCTTGCAAGCTACAGTTCATGGGGTCACAAAGAGTTGGACATGACTGAAGCAAGTTAGTAAGCATGCATGCATGCATGCCTTTAAAGTGAACAGCATGGTGACTGACCAGGCACTCTGTGGGAAACTGACAAGACTGGGAAGAAATTCAAACATGAAGTAAGAAATGGCAAATTTATATGCCAAAGGTGGTAGAAAGGTTAAATAGAATGAAAGTGGAGAGTAGAAAACTTTCTCACAAAATGACTTCCTAGGAAATCTCTTCAAATGCTCAGAAACATTGTTCTCTCAGTCTCACCTAGGAAGTAAAGTGTTGTTAATATAGTTGGTCTCTTATTTGGCTAAACAAAATTAAACAAACATCATAATTTCAGAAATAAAATAATAGAAAAGCAGAAATAATTCAAAATAAGGTTTTGGTTATTCTATTTATTTCACTTAGGACAGTCAGTGGGCATTAACTAGGGTACTTAAAAGTCATTTCAATTAGGCATCTCTTTAGTCCTTCATCAATTATTTCAAGTGTTCTAGTCTCAAATACATTCCTTTCTTCTACAAACTTCTGGAAGAGATGAGTACCTCCACCCACACCAAAATAATGTACTTTGCTGGCCAAAAGCACCCGTCCATTTTTATCTAACAATCTAAGGAATGTTTGGTGCAGAGGACCATAATAATCTGGATTGTAGATCGTTTCTGAGGTAAGAATGAGATCATATTTTTCAAAGAGTTTTTCACTGCTCAGTACAAGCTTACAAAACTCAGACCACTCCCCTGAAAAGAAGCGGCATTTACATTGCTCTTGTGCTACTGCTGATCTCCTGAGTCTTTTCACATCTGGTTCATTTACATCATTTTCTTCATCTTCCAAAGTGGAGTTAGCCACTACATTAGGTAAGGTTACTTCATCAATCACCACACTGTTATAATCTTGAAAATGAATTTCTTTGGCACCTCCCTTGAGTGCCATTATACCCAGCAACCCTGATCCACAACCAAGATCCAACACTTTTTTCCCAGCAAATTTCACTTTGGCCTTTGTCAAATATGCCAGGAGGTCAAAGGTACACTCCCAGATTTTCAAGCCTCCTTCATAAACACCTGAAATCAGGTCAGAGTGAGAAGAAAAGCTTTTTGAAATGATGTTTTCTCCAGGGAAGTTCTCTTTCAACAAGGTGGTTTTCATTATTGATATGTTAATGTGTTGGAGACCTGGTAATGTTTCTGTGACTTTATTTTCTAACACTTTCTTTAAATCTTTAGGCATAGCATGCTCTTTGGCAACTCTCAAGCAGGTCTTTTCCTCGTGTGGTTCCAAGTTACTTGAACTGTTAGCTGCACTGAATGAGCTGTCTGGATCTTGAGAGGGAGCCTCATTTCCCTCTGACTTATGTTCCCACAAATGGTCCTGCAGCAAGTCAGATTGTTCTGTGGAACATTTTTTGTCTCTATGTGTACCTTTTTGTCTTTCTGAGATTGAAGACTCTTTTGAGGAATGTAGGGCTAAAGCTCCATCTGCAAGAGATGTTAATTCATCTTCCAGATGGTCTTCTATAGTGAAATTAAATTGAAAAGTCATTCTCTCATAAAATGCACACAACTGTTAAACTCCAAGGAAGCTTCTTCAACTTCTGGATAGAACTGATGACACACATATAAACCTGCCTCAATTAATTATTGTTAGTTTTGCTGAAAGTCTATTTCTCTTTAGTTGCTTATACAGTTACAAATATTCGGAGCTATTTCCAAATGACTTTTAAGAGGTCTTTGCTCTTCTTTCAGTGCAGCTCTAGAGAAAAGGAAAGAAATGAAAATTGTTATTAAGAAGCAAAGTGACACATTTCATTTAAATTTAATATTAAACATTCCACCCTCCCCCAACAACAGCTTTTCTATGAAAGCTGTGGAGGGAGAAGGAGACAAGATTTGGAAACACACACAGCCTTCAGGGTTCAAAAGCTGAAGATAATAAATTCTAAAAAAGAACAAAATAACGCCAGCAGCAGCAGCAACAATTAAAAACAACAGAGTCAGAAATTCTAGGGCAGAAAATGATCAGTCTAGCGATTGTCACGACCTCGCGCAAACATATAATATTTCCCTCTTAAACTGCCAGAATCTTTTCAGTCTGTTACTGTTTCAAGTAACAGGACTTCAAGATTGTATTTTGCTGAATGAGCATCCCTTTAAAAACATGCACAGGTATGCTGATGTGTGTAAATTCATCCAAATGACCTAACTACAAACATTCAGCCGAGATCAGCAGCCCTAACTGTACTGGGAGGGAGGTAACTCTGGAGTAATTAGTAAAGATTAGCTTGACACAAAATAAGGGTATTGAACCGTGTGGACAGGCCCGTAGAAAATGGAAGCAACTTAATCAAGAGGGTCTTCTCTGGGTTAGACACTTAATATATACCATCAGTTCAATCTGCACACCAATTCTGACAGGTGGGTCTCTAGCCCCATTACACAAGATGTACAGAGTAGGGTCAACACATTAAGAGGGTAGAAGGCGCCTGTTTCTATCCCACTTCACCGCGGGACTTGCAGTCATTCCTGGTCGCATGCCCGGGTCAAACCCAACCCCAGATGTGCAACCAAAATGCCCCATGGGATGGAAGGTTGTAAATCTGGGGACTCTCGGCCCTCACCTCCCCCACAGCGTCTCAAAACAACGTTGACAGCGATCCAAACTTTAAGATGCTCGCCGCCCGGCGGACTCCCGACTCACCTCGCGGAGAACGCCGGCCAGACTCGCCAGACCGGAAACGAGCACCAGTGAATCGAGTCCTCCGCAGGCCAGCCAAGCCCGGCTTTCTTCCCAGTCGTGTGGGGCCCGGGCTCACCAAGGAAGGCGGCGCCCTTCCTCTCTATGGTCTTGGTTCGCAAGGCCTGCCGGGACTGTGGGAGTTTCCGGTCTTGGCTCTGGCGGGAGTGTTTGGAAGCTTTGGTGCTGGGCGAAAGCATGTCTCAGGAACGCGCTGTTCCGGCGAGCGCGATTCCACTGGAAGAAATAAGTAGCTGGCCGGAGGAATTGTGCCGCCGGGAATTGCCGTCTGTCCTGCCTCGGCTCCTTATATCCTTTATTGTCATTTCCACCTGGAGAGGGCTGTGGGGCCGGTCTCCAACCTTCTGTCTCATCTAACCCGCTTTCGGGCCTTGTTGGGTCCTTGCGGCTTCAACCTTCTCTGTTGACAGCGAGATGAGTAAGCGAGGAAATGAAGGGCGAGCGAGAGCCGTGGGTGCTGAAGCCGGAGTACGCTTGGCTTTGGCGTTGGGAGGGCTTTCGGGTGTTCTTACAATGGTTTTCGGTAGTGGATATGGCGTTTTCTTCCACTCCTCTGGGCCTTCAAGTTGCTCTTTACGTGCAATTAACTGTGATTACTTTTGCTTGTTGGAGATCGGGAGAGACAGGAACTTAGCCTTGAGCTGTAAGGTGAGCCGACTCTGGATGAAGTAGAGGAGAGCGTGATACTCCGAGCGCTCATCTCTAAAATGGGTGGTGAAAGTGAATACCTTCCTCCACTATTTTGAGAATCAAATTAAAAGACGTAGTTCTGCCATGTGCCAGGTCTGTAAAAGATGTTAAGCAAATTCAAATGTTATTCCCGCCCAGTTTTCAAACCTCTTGGTTTATTGCTGGTGAGGAGTTGCTTCGTTTACTAATTGGCTTTCATGTGCTGCGTTTGAGGTACTCCGTTCAGGTGCAGATCATTTAGTACTCGAATCCCTTTTGGATTGTAAATATATGTTGAGGCCTAACCCCTCATGTTAAAGGGTAACTTTTTTTTTTTTAACAGCTTTGCGCACAGAAAACTTAAAACTGCACTCAAAAACAAGAGCCTCACTTGAGACATTCTGAACACTGCACAAGTAATTTTTTACAGATAAAGCCAAATGTAGATATTACTGTCACAAAGAAATCATTCACCTGGACACTGTCAAAATCTCACTTCGGTGCCAAAAGCCTTTCTTAGTTGTGCCCATATGGAATTTCTGTCCTAAAAGATTTTTGATTTCTGCAGCTAATAGCCATTCTTCTCAAACACTTTTGCAGTGTACCTAATACATAGCAGGCAGGGTGTTAGGCTTAGGGGGAACAAAGAACATGGTTCCTCCTTCCCCACCTCAAGCTCATAGGGGATTTCAGTAATTGAAAGTAAAAATTTTTATTCCCGCCCCCCCCCCCCCAAAAAAAAAGAAAAAGTCAGCATTCTCTCCTGGTTTTCATCTCAAACTTAAAATTCAAAAGAACAAAAACCTGCTCTTTTGATGAAATTTTAAGTTTCATCTCAAAATTCGAAAGAACCAAAACCCCTAGGCTTCTTAAACGGTTTCACAAGCCAAAACCTTTAATCAAGTTCTTTCATTTCTGCCCTCAGAATGTATTTTGAATCCATCATCCCCATTTTCTGCCACTGCTCCAAGCCCCCGTAACTTCTCATCTGGGCTGTAGTTAATAGTTCTCTTGCTTCTACTCATGTCCTTTTATAATCGCTCCAATAAAAGTTCAGATTGAAAAACATGTCATTTCCTTTTTAAAGCACCCCTTACCACAAGGGCTTCTTAACAAATTAGGAATAAAACCTAAACTTTTACTTTCAAGTCTCCTCATGTTCGAAGCCTTGTCCTCTCCTGCTTAGCTCACTACATTCTAACCAAAGATACATGAAGCTCACCTGCCTTAGGATCTTCATGTTTGTTGATGTTCCATGTAGCTCTCCCAGCCTTCGGTAGGTCTCATTCAGGTTTCAGCTCAAATGTCACCTGCCTAGGTAAGCCCTTTTCAGAGCCCTGAGTTTTTGGTGGTTTCCCCCAACCCAGTCACTAATACTCATCACATTGCTCTGTTCAGTTTTCTAAAGAGCAGTCAGATCGTTAATAGAAATTATGTTGTTTACTTTGTTTTATTTTTGCTTTTCCTCACTACACTGTGAAGTTCATAAAGGCAGGAATTTTGTTTTCACTGCATTGTCTCCAGCACTTAGAATAGTTCCTGGCACATAGTAAGCATTCAATGAAGGGCTAAAAAATTTTGTCATGTTTTAAACAGCATGAAGTCTCATTATGTGATTTTTGTTTTTCAGCTTTTGGTTTTACTACAGCACTTTTCTACAAATGAAAGAAATTTTCTATAAATCCACAGTCCTGTCACCCAAACATAATTATTTTTATCTTTTGCATTTTGCATGTTATTTTTCAGTCTTCGCCTGCTTGTCTGTATAACCATAACTTAAGTTTAAATTTTGGAAGAGGCCAAATTTTTTTTTTTACCTTTTCTAAAAATTATCCACGAGGCTGATTCTTCCCTGAACTAAAATAAATTAATGACCATGCCTCATTTTGATTGCTGCTGTAAGATATGTAGTTGCGAAGTGAGATTTCAGAAGAATGACTTCTTATGTTACTGTATTGGGGTTGTGGTGTTTTAATTTTTAAGATTGACACATGCTTTGATAATTCATGTTATTTTTATAGTAAAAACTTTCTAATAATTCTTAATGGTTTGAAAGTATATAGTTTATAATGTGATTACTGTTGACGTTTACAGTGCACATAGGATAGTTTATTATCACATATTTGTAAGCTCCTATTTGCAGAAGAGTTTCAGTCTGATAAGGTGATAAGATAGATATGCTAATAACATGAAAAGAAGGTAGAAAATGATCCGTGACAGGTGTAGATACAGTACTATAGAAGTGCTAAGGGGAAAGAAATTTGTTTCGGAAACCAGAAACCATGGGTTATTATGGACTGTTTCTCATCTGTCAGAAATATGTCATAATTGCATATAGTTTGAAGAGATAAGTTTATCCTTGAGCGTTTTGAAAATACTTCCTTAAAGTATTTTCATTCTGTTCTTCGTTAGCCTAATAAGCATTACTTTTTTAAAAGCAAAATTATGCCAGTAATTTGAGTCTAATTTTAGTCTCTTACTATCATTGCTTAAACTTCAAGAAAGATCTTTTGAAAATCTATTCTCAGTAGTGAATATCTTACTCAGTTCAGTTTAGTCGCTCACATGTCCAACTCTTTGTGACCCCATGGACTGCAGCACGCCAGGCCTCCTTGTCCATCACCAACTCCCGGAGTCCAGCCAAACCCACGTCCATTGAGTCAGTGATGCTGTCTAACCATCTCATCTTCTGTCATCCCCTTCTCCTCCTGCCCTCAGTCTTTTCCAGCATCAGGGTCTTTTCAGATGAGTTAGCTCTTCATATCAGGTGGCCAAAGTATTGGAGTTTCAGCTTCAACATCAGTCCTTCCAGTGAACATTTAGGACTGATCTCCTTTAGGATGGACTGGTTGGATCTCTTTGCAGTCCAGGGGACTCTCAAAGAGTCTTCTCTAACACCACAGTTCAAAAGCATCAGTTCTTCGGCGCTCAGCTTTCTTTATAGTCCAACTCTCACATCCATACATGACTACTGGAAAAACCATAGCTTTGACTAGATGGACCTTTGTTGGCAAAGTAATGGTACTCTGCTTTTTAATATGCTCTCTAGGTTGGTCATAGCTTTCCTTCCAAGGAGTCTTAATTTCATGGCTGCAGTCACCATCTGCACTGATTTTGGA